TTATTTACTTGGTTTTGAAGATAGTTAATTTTCTATTTTAAAAAAAATAATAGGGCGTTTAGAGGGTTAGGGGGGTTAGAGCAAGAGGAGGATCACGCTTCGTCTGACAGCCCTTGACAACCCACGGCTCTACTTTTTTACAGAGTTCACCTGCAGTTTTTGTACTGAATGGCATATCATTTAGGAAAACCGAGACTGATCACTTAATGCCACATTGCACAGTGGGGTTATTTAGGAAAATTATGCTTCTCAAATCAGAGACAACTCAGGCTAAGTAGGACAAAAATAATAATAATAATAATATAGAATCTGTACAGCACATATCCCCACTCGAAAGCAAGCTATATGCGCTTTACACTATATTATTACCCCAGCAGACCATAGAACACCCAGAAACATTCCCAGTTTCCCGGGAAGCATACAGTGCAAGCAGCTGGTTAAGCGCCCAAACACTAACAAACTTACAAGGTCTTTCACTGTCTATAGCTGGGTACCCATTTTCACCTGGGTGAAGTAAGGGAAATTCGTGTAAAGTGCCTTTCCCAGGGACACAACGTCGAGCCCGCGGCTCGAATCCCCGAACCCGCAACCTCACGATTATGAGTCCGGAAGCCTAACCACTACACTACCGACGCCACAGTAACGATCGGGTGGGGGATACTTGAGTCTCATTCGAGAATCGAACTCACGTGTTCCGCACTAAAAGCCAAAGAGCCTTAACATTGCACCTAAGACGCCTGTCTTTTTTTCTATTATTATTCTGCATGCTGAGAGAAATCACTGTTGCCGCTTCTTCTTTCCTCCCAAACATCTCTTTCTTTTTCGTGTTACTCTCTTGTAACACCTCTAATCTTTAACATTTATTTGACTTTATTGTGTTTCAAGTGCCGTAAAACTCTCATAAAAACTAAAGAAATCGCTTCCTGAGAGAAGAACACTATGATACTCGCTATCTTAGAATTACAAAGTTCTATTTGACATTTTTTTGCCATTTTGACTTACTGATACCAAGAGGTCAGAAACCAAATTTTAATGTTCTATCTGCTGTATCAGAGTCGTTAAAATATTCGGAGTCGTTACCAATACATTCAAAGAATTAATTGCAATCCAAAAATCTTGACATGTTATGAAACTCAAAATTATGTTTCACGTCTAATTTCTCAAAACTAGGCACTGGACACATAGAACTTTGTAATTCTATGGCCGTGTACTGTTTATTATATGTATCTTAACATTATGCGTCAATTTATCATGTCAGCTTCTGGAACCTGCCACGGTTCTGATCGTTGTTGAAAGATTCCTGACTATCACATTCTGATCTCACTACCAGGTCCCATCTCCCGCCTATCAGATCAGATCTCCACACCTTCTATGCCCGACCTGTCACTCAGTAGCCAAAGTTTAGCTGTGTGTGGCACACACCCTCTGGGCGAGTCTGACCCACTGAGACAGCCCCTCACCCCTGCTGGGCCTGGCATGGACTACTGTTGTTACAGTAGTCGGTAAAACTGGTGAAATGGTACAGGTTTAACGCCCTTGTCAACATTGTTATGTGTTATATAAGAGGCGTGGCGTCCATCTCCGAAAGGACCGAGCCAAATGGGAATCTCATGTAAAGTGCTTTTCCCAAGGACACAAAATCCTACTGAGGTGAGACTCGAACCCACAGAACCAGGAATCTCACGATTACGGGTCCGGCAGACTAACCGCTAGGCCAACGCCACTACTGTAGTCGCAATCATTCGGAGGAAGGTTTATGTAATATTATGTGGGTTTTTAGGGTTGAATACCTAAAATTCATTCACGGGCCACAGGCAATTGCACAGGCTGAAGGGCTGCGACTCAGAAACTAAATTTATTTTTTTAACGTCAGGTTTCCTAAAAACTGGGCATTGAGCAGATAGAACTGTGTTATTCTAAGGCAGCGTGATACCATCAAAGTGGGGCATCGTGATGAAATCAAGCGCTCGTCAAAAGAGAAATTGGCATTAAAAAAAAAAAAAAAATTCTTGCTCAACACCTGTTATATCCATTCAAAAACACATTTCTGAGTGGATTTTTACTGAAAAACGTTGATTAAAGCCACAAAAATGTCAATTTTCAGTTTCCAAGGACCCTCAAGCTATGGAAATTATCAAATTTCGGTGGCCATTTTCCCCTAATTTTACCTTTGAAACCAGGCGACCCTGATCTCCTTCAATCGTAAATATTTCAACTTCTATTAAACATAGATGGATATTTTTTCGCCTAAAGCAAGACAAATAAATGAACAAGCTTTAAGATCATACCAATAACCCCAATGTGCCAAAAAAATTGACAAGCACCTGATTCCACCACGTCTCGACTCAAATGAAGAGCACAGGGGAAAAACGTGGAAATTGTGAGAGTGCCAATTTTAAAAGCTTGTGGACCTTATATTTGTTTGACTGGTAGTTAATTATCAAGTTTTGTTGAATGGGAAATCCGACAACAATAATCACCCAACAGTTAAATAGAAATACAGTTATGAGTCAACAAGCTTTCAAAATTGGTACCCTCACAATTTCCAGTTTGTGACTACAGTCGTTTTTCCCCGATGCTCTATAAATGTATTCGGACAGCGCGACCACTTACCCAGGATGTAGGGTGAATACATCGCTGACGCAACAGGCGGGGAGGGGGCGGGGGATACCAGAGGGGCGGGGCACCGGCTGTAGATGGCGTGTGGGGAGATCGTGGGTGACGTCATCATTCTAAGTCGTCCAGCGGGCGTTCTTTCACTTCACCAAGTTGCGGCCAAACGTTTCGACAGTGCTGACACCACCTGAAGATGTGTCTGTTGGGGGTAAAAAAAAGGTGTAGACTAGGTCAGAGTAGGTTGGCTGGCTTGTGTTTAGTTTTAGTAGAGGTTTTACGGCGCTCGCAACTGCATAAGGTCATATGAGCGCCAAGGGATGGATGTCAACAAAGAAGTCCTTACAGGGAATCAGACTTACTCTGCTCACCTCTCTAGCCTCAACTGCACAAAGTCTGCTTCGACTATCAAGGCACCCCGGAAATAGCGAGTCACAAAAGTGTGACAGACATACAAAAGAAGTAGAGGAAAATGACGATAGTAAGGATAAGGAAAGAAAAAAGCAGTAGTTCCGTGTTATAGTTCAGGCACAGTTATGAGCATGACACTGTTGGATCAGCCCATTTACAATTTTACTTTGCATTAGAACGGGAACTTTGGGAATGGCCTAAAGACACTTCAGTCAGTGGCCCC